TCGATAAATTGTGGAACTGGAGGAGCACAGCAGGTCCGACAACATCAGAGGAGCAGGAAAGTTGACATTTTGGATTGGGACCGTTCATCAGGACTGATGAAGGGTCCTGACCCAAAATGTTGACTTTCCTGCTCCTCTGATGCTGCCTGATCTGCTGTGCTCCTCCAGCTCCACATTTTATCGGCTCTGACTTCCAGCATCTGCAGTCCTTTCTATCTTTTAAATGACGGCCAATTGGATCTGCAAGAGCTACCATTTTTAGGGGAGGAAGATTGAAATTAAAATGTTAGGGGATACAAAGATAAAATCCAAATATGTGCATGTTATCTAATTTGGAATCATAAAGGGATCCCATGGACTCTATGGGCTGGGTGTATGATTACATTCATGTAGACCCATCTATGTCCCATGCCATAATCCAGAGAGCACTGCACTGCCAAAAGGATATGAATGATTTTGTATAGCAGCCCACATTATCTAGTCTCTCAATGCTGCTTGCTGCACCAGAAGAGAGGAAACAACAGCAGGACTCATTTTACCATTCCAGGTTGTAAGCCTGATCTTTCACCTCGGAGCATCCCAAAAATTACCTGCTCTTTATTGCCCAACAGGCAGCCCAAATCCAATTGCTTGTTATCTGCTGCATGTGGCAAGAACACTGTTAGAAAAGGAAACAAAGCATAAAATATGTAATGAACTCAAAAGCAGCACCAGCAACATGCAGAACATGGCAATCCTGTTCACTTCAAGATCACAGTACTCAAGAAAATATTAAGGGGCCTGAAATATTGCAAAACATTGCACCAGAATTCATGAGAGAACTTGCCACCCATACTCCTGCCTGGATGATTTTGTTCTTTACAAGAATCATCAGCTTAACCTCACTCCTGAAGGTAATGTATATGATAAAAATTATTCCTGTTCCAAAACCTGGAAAAAGATCTCACACTAGTGGCCAGTTATAGACCAATTTCATAACTTTATGTGTTCCTTAAGATCATTGAGTGTCTGGTCCTAAGACACATATTTCTGAGAGTAAAGACCATGTTTAACATCAGTCAATCCCTGTTTTCTATAAGGGACACAACATATGTGATAAAGTTCTGGCACTCACTATGTGCATTGAAGATGATTACCAAAGAATCCTGGAAACAGGCTCATCACCATTGGCCCTCATAGCTGCCTATAAAACAGTGTGGTACAGTGGCCTGCTCCTAATGCTGTCCTCAGTGCTTCCCAGCTGGATCATGATAATTGCGGAAACACACTTTGTGGAGCAAATGATTTGGAGTCCAATTTGAACAAAGAAGAAGTTCATGAAGCACGTTGGTTGAGGGACAACCATAGGGCTCAAATACTAGTGCTGTTCCTACCCCAGTGCTGTTCAATATTCATACATATAACTAAATCTCACTACTTAGTTTACAGTGATGACATCTGTTGCTCTGTCTGAACTCCCATTCTTCTTCAGCCTGGACGAGGCCATTAACAAAGACATTATGAATAAGGTAGAATACTGCAGCACATGGCATCTCCTATTGGATCCATCTAAAATGTTATTTTCCACCTCCATATTGACAGTGCCAAAAAAGAGTTGATCTCTATCTGGATGGTTGGAGACTAGAGCATGATCCCAATCCAACAACTTGGGAACGATTCTACCTAAAACTTTGTCTATTCCAGCAACTTCTGAAGAAAACAGCAGCAAATATCAAAACCAGAAACAATCAATAATCAAGAGTTATATTGGACTTGAAATGTTAATTCTTTTTCTCTTTTCACAGATTCTGCCGGACCTGCTGAGTTTCTCCAGCACTTTCTGTTTTTTTTTTTTTCAGATTTCCAGTACCCATGGTACTTTGGTTTTATAAACCGAACTTTTTGAATCCATGTGCCATGACACTCCAGCTCAGCACTTATGCTACCATACATCACAACACAGTACTGTGCAACTATCTGACAAAGGTCATCTCAGACACATTTCATTAACACTCAATTGAATGCTATGATGCACATTATGACTGGCCCTGATTCAACATCTCTGCCCCAGCTTCCTATCCTTGCAAATTTCATTCCCAAACATCCACCAACTGCAAATAACCCTCAAGCTCATTGAAACCATCCATGCTATTTTCAATAATGAATGTTTTAATCCACCTGCTTCCCATTTTCCATCTTAGCACTCAATATGCACAACCTTCCTGAGGAAGATCTGCCAGCAAACATCCATTGGATTGGAAAACGCAGCAAGTTACCAACAGACTGACAAACCCCATCTGAATGGTAGACCTTGAACTACCACAGCGAGTGCTTTCCTTGTTAAAAAAGATTCAAGACAAGCCAGGATGCCTGTGCAGACAACCTTCACTATTGGAGTCTCAGTACCGAGTCCTTTCGTACTTTTGGAGAGAATAACCCTGCATATTATTGACGTGTATCACTTCTAGGTCACCAAACTCAGTAAGTGAGAAGTCTATTGCTTGGCTCTAGAAGTTTACATTAGCTAAGTTAAAACATTATGTGTATGTTAAAAGCTTGCCTATGTACATGCCCACAGAATGACAAGCCAAGGCTTTCCAGGTTTGAAATTGAATGTGTTTAGTTTCCTGCTGTGATTAAAAGGTTATTTTGTTAAGTAAATGATGACTAGTTGTGGGAGATTTGACTGAAATGTTCTTTTCTTAAGTTATCTCATGATTTCCAATCATTTTACACGTATATTGAAATGACTGATAACTTTTTGTCTTTTTTCCACAGATCCATCGTGACTTCTGCTAAATTGGGAGATCTCAACTGGGGGACGCAGGTAGGTTCCAAATAACTTCACCCTGGGGATAATCTGATTCGATGAGGCATGTGTGGAGAACCTTTTGCATTGTCTATAATTCTGTGGAGGTTTCCAAAAGCCCAGAGCCTCTGGGAATGTGCAATAAGAAGTTAATGTTTACAGGGAAGGGGGTGGTGGATGAAAGGAAATGAGCCAACAATGTGGACAATACGATGCCAAGATCCCCGATTTTGAAATAAGCCCCAACATTTACTCAAATGTAAGGGCTAACCACCAGTAAATCAGGAAAGACGCTTCTGCTGGTCCAAATTAACCTACGTGGAGTGAAAAGGTTCTTCATCCATACCCTCACTGGAATATCAGTAAAATGAATCACTGTGCAAGAGTAACAGATTTCAAGCCGGGTGTCTGAAACCCTAAAGATTCGTTTGAACGAGGAATCAATGCTGGGCGATAGAGAGGCTTCGGGATCGCCCTGGTTCCAATAACATTTTAACGATAAAATATTAAATTGGACTTAGTGAAACTTAACGGTCACTTCAGTGTCTCATGAGAAAGCTGATGTTCACACTCTCATGGTTGTTTCTGGCCGGAATGAGGTTTGCAGGATTTTTATGTTTATTCACTTATTTAAGAAGTTGCACTCTTCGCCCCTCCCCCTTTTCTGATGAAGGGTCTAGGCCCGAAACGTCAGCCTCTCTGCTCCTATGATGCTGCTTGGCCTGCTGTGTTCATCCAGCCTTGCACCTTGTTGTCTCGCACTCTTCGCTCTGGCCGTTTCAGGGGCTCGCCTCGCCCACATAATGGTTGGGGGTGACTCACATCTCCAGCAAAGTGCGTTACCTAGTCTGTGCCCCCGTTGTTGTGTAGTCCAGTGACATTAGATGTGAGTGGTACAGAACGAACCAGCAATTTAGCATGTCATTTAATACGGGTGTTATGACATCCAAAGTGTGTTTCTCCTTCCTTCACATACTAACAGCGGGTTCACTTCCAAACGCCTGGGTTGACGTTAACGGGATGGCTAGAATTCATAGACACGGCTTATTGGATAAACTCTGAATGCACTGTCAGTCTTCCAGTCTCTGAGTCTAAATTCTCTGATCCCGCTTGTTGTCCCTGGTTCCCTCATGGTTCCCCTACTTCCCAGGAACCGTGTTTATGCTTCTAATGGTATTTAAGGGACACTATGATTTTAAAGAAACCTCCAGACACGACTTAATTCTTATTTCAGAAGAATACCGTTCAAGTTAATCCACCATCCGCAGGTACTCAAATCATCAATGCCCATCCTTCACATTACTCCTGCGGTTACCGTTAATCCTGTTATACTAACTGTACTCAGTGGGCATATTCCTTCAGGATCGATTCTATGATTTTGGTTTTGAACCGCACAATGCGGAATGTTGTAATCAGCGATTATTATCGATATTTTTATCCTCGTGTATTTATGCCACTTTCACAGTTCCAATTAATTGAGGCACAGATTTGAATTGGGCTTAGTAATACAGAGGCATTTTCCATTACGAATGCATCGACTTCAGTGCATTAAATATGCTTTGTGCATTCCTTGTGTACTGGAATCTCGACGTGAGATTGTTAAATTCCCTTTCTATAATCGTTTAATAAAAGGAAATAAAGGATAGTCTTTACCGGCCCTGAATCTTGTGGAAGTTGGACCTGATCTGGTTTCTGCCGCAGTTAATAAAGGGTATCAGGCAGCACATTGTCCAACCAAAAACAGGGTGTCGGATAGACCAGCGGTTCTGCTTCGCCCTTCTACAAAGTCATGCCATCATTTGTATTTAATAATCGTTTCACATGGAATATTGCGTTTATTCATCTTAGAAACCTTTTGCATTCTTTGCTCCCACCGTGAAGCGACTTGAAATTAAATGTGTCATGAACAGTAATGTATTTGTCACCTTTACAATCAATAATAACCCATATATACTGTCATCAGAAGTTCTGGAGGAACGTAAATAGTCAAACAAAGCGAATATCTGGCCTGAAATGTACAGCGACGATTTTTTTATGCCTAGTTTTTGCAACTGACTTGTGCTCACCGTTGCCCAGCATGCTATTAAATTACAGTTCTCAGTTCGGACAATTAGATGAACTTCGCTGTAATTTGTACTCAGCTGCTGTTTGCCGCGTATACTACTTTTCACTCAAAACACCATCTGTTTCCAGGGTCCAGACCAAAAAAAAAACTAGTATCAGACCCAGCTTTGGTCAGCCGTGTGCAACATTTGCAAAAACAGAATATGAGAATTTCCTCTGTGTCCTTTTATTTGTTCGAACATGATGTTAACTCGAGAGAAAACCAAAATCAAAATCTAGGAATTATTAACAATTTATTCCCGATCGTGTACATAAACTCATGTAATTGCAGGTGCTTGTCTCTAGAGGCTGTCCTATTGAGGCAGAAATAATTTCTGCTGTCAGATATTTAAATAAATCGCATTCTGTGATCAAACGATTAGTTATTTTTTACAATATATTAAATACTTAAATGGTTTACGTGCGGCCTTGTTCCATTGATTATAAAATATGCTACAATATTTCCCATCCTGAAGGGATTCGGGACAGGCAACAAATCCTTTGCAGCCTGGGAATGATTAAAACAAATCAATTGACATACTTCTAAGGGGACATGTTAGGTTCGCATTCTATGTGATTAGTAGATGTCCAATATCGCGGTTGACTCCAGTCAGAGGAAAATTATTGTCCTTTTTGAAGGAAGCCCCCGAGTTACCCCCTGCCTTGGCATCTCCTGAAGACTTGTCGTGCAGCGCCGCTTCTGCTTTGCTTAAATTGGTCTTGGTCTGTCTTTTTGCTTCCTCCTTCTTCCATTTCATCCTTCTGTTTTGGAACCAGATTTTGATATGCCTCTCGGTGAGGTTCAGCATTGCCGCGAGTTCAATACGCCGGGGTCTGGAGATGTATTTGTTAAAATGAAACTCCTTCTCCAGTTCCAGAAGTTGGCCTCTCGTGTAGGCCGTTCGGGTCCGTTTGCATTCCTCAGCGTCCAGCGGAAAGTTGTTTCCTGTTAGAAAAACAGATCGTCATCTTTACTCTAAAAAGAATCACAAATAAGACGCACTCTAATGAGATGAGTAGGTCGAGGAATCTATGGATTCAGTCCCACAAGCCAGGGCCTGTGAAATCGAAAAAGATACACCTTGAAAGTCCCTCCTTCAAATGTTCTTGAATGTTACTGTAACAATATTTTACTAAGTATTGCAGGACGGCCTGTGTGGGAATCTAGGACAAATTGCAAGCAAACTTTAATTCATTACAAAAACAACAGGGTGAAAATCATAAGAAATGTGGGATCTTAATGGTTTTGCCTTCCTCTAAAACTTCCAGGTCCCATGCACTTCTCAAAGTAATTATAATGTTTCAACACTGTTACCTCAGGCATCACCTCTCTAATCAAATTTTAAATCACATTGGTTCGATTCCATCTTAGTAAAGCCGAATGTCAGAATTGCAATCTTGTTTTGCAGAGAGAAGGGTAACAATCTACTGGTGGCTGAATGAGCACACACCGATAGGTTTCCTTTTTCAGTATACGCTTTAACATTCTTCCTTTGAATAATTACATTTTGCAGTTCATACAGTATTAAGTATTAAATATAATCAGACCTAATATTTTATATGTTGGCTTACCTAGCAGTAACTTCTGTGTGTTTAAGTATTAATGACTAAAGTACTTTTTATTGTAAAGGCTCTTCTTAATGAGCCACTTTCTCCCCTTGGCATATATCACTGTCCCAATGAAATAATTTCATCTCATTCAGAATTATCAAGCTAACTGCAGAATATCGCATTCCATAAATATTCCCGTCTGTGCCTTGTAATGAAGGATTATTAAGAATTAAGTAGCACATATTGGTACAGGAACATTTCTTTGGTTCTTGCTCATACATTAGCTTATGTCTTTGGGAACTTTTCTCATGGTGATGCGTATTGAAAACAGCGGGGATTATTCCGAATACAGAGGAAGGGGATATTAATTTCCCCTATCTGTATTTCTTACATTTTGGAATGCAGTGGTCTTTCATTCAGAAACGTAGTCGTTGATATTCCTTCACGTATATTATAAAGTTCTTAGAGTCAAGCTACACTAACAATAATGTAGTAACTCACAATCGTGGGGAAAACTGAATATTATCGCTAAGAGAATTTCTTGAAAACTTCATTTTTTACGGCATGAGTTAAAATATGAAATGTAGTTTGTACAAAGAATGTTATCGCATTCATTATAGGTACTGTATTTATTATCATAAATAAGTGTAAAGATTTTCTCCAATCTCCCATGCGTCAGATAAATTAGTGTGGACAAACACAGATACAATCTATTTCAACCGAATGTGTGCCTGTTAAACATGGGCCTATACCTATATAATATTACCAGTTTCAACCTAACCATCCCTTTACCAACTGTTACACAAATTTGCAGTATTAACATTTGAAGAATTCATTTTCAATCTGCACACCTGCATTCCACACTTCCACGATTAATCTAAACCTTTCTCAAAAGTTCACTATCCAGTGTGCCACTATTGTAGAGGTTCTAATGTGTTGCTAAATATTAGTGTCTGTCGGGAACAAATGGCGCAAACCTCAGGTTCTCAAATGTAACTCGGCGCTTGTAAAATGTACAACATTTTAGAGACTACTGTGGTAGAAATGCTCCCCAGATTTGGCAAATCGATGTTATCCTGAGGGATATATGTTTATAGCAAACATTTCAACAATTGCCCATGGGGCAAGAGTACCCCATAAGCAATGGATTTTTTTTTGTTAGAATTGAACCAATTAGTTAATCTGGTGCTCAGATCATCAGTAAAAGTACCTGCGAGAAATTATGGAAGAGATCGAGTTCGGGCCCATCATGTTTCATTTACACAGGCCCATTTTTATGGCCAATATTGGGGATTTTCTCCACTTACCTGGGGGGAGATGATCTTTATTTAAGTCAAGAAGGCAAAGCAATGGTTTCATTCCAGCCCAATCAATTATCCTCCGCTTTGTTCCCTTAGTCCCACTTGCACAGCAACCATCAAACTCAACAGGATAAGCAAGTCAAATACTTGACAAACGCAGCTTTAATGTAAGTCGAGTGACCAAGGCATGTGGTTTAATTTTTGCGTTTAATCGTTTTGCATCACGAGTTAAATTTGATATTACTAATAGAAGTAAATGAACGGAAACTTAATGATGATTTGCAAAGGCTTTCAATTTCTTGATTTCCTGTTATATTTTGTGCTTCAGGTAAAAACTGATTTGAGCTCGTACTTACACTATTATATATATGCTCATACTTAGGACGCACACACACCTATACATATTGTCTTACACAGTGAGTACTTTGTATCTGAAACATGTCGGATGGAGATATTTTTGCCGTTTGTTCATTCGATTTCCTATTCATTATTAAGCGAAGGCTAAACTTAATAATCGATTAACTCGTCACCATACCTCCCCATTGATTTCTCCAAGTATGTGATTTGGTGTTCTTCATCCAAGGGAACGGGTAGTGGCTCTGAAGCTGGAGATTACCCCCATATTCGGCGTCGAAATAGTTAGGCTGTGAAATATAGCCACAGCTCGGATCTGTAGAGCTCTGGTAAGGGCTGAAATCCGTGTCACTCTGTTCCTTTAAATCAACGCAGCACGACCTGAGGAGAGAGCTCTGCGGACTGCAGGCATACACACAGGCAGGTGGATTCGGAGCGTATTCCGGGCTCTGATATTGACACGCAGTCTCAAAACAGTCCGCGTCTCCCTCCATGACTGTCTTGGTATCTAGCATCAACTGCGATTTTATGACAAGGTTTCGAGAATTCCTCCGGGGCACATGGAGTGAACTCTAACACCTGAAGCGAGACTCCTCACCTTCAGCTTTGTCACGTGCTTACTGCAGAGTCTCCGATTGGTAGACCGGAAACGGGCGTTTAACATTTTTTAAAAATCCAAAATCTTTTACTACTTCACATTGTAAAACCGCACAGTACTTCTTTTTAAAAAGCTGTCCAGTGTATGGTGCGAGAAATGCAGATTTACAGAGTTCAACTCCATTCGATTGGAGTGAAGCATAACATCCTAATTATAGAAAGCACGTCGTGATCACAGGCTGCAAAGTACAACAAGTTCCATCAGACTGTGTTACGCAAGTAAGGGTTTGGAAAAGTAATTACACTGTTTTTTATGAACTATGGACTAATTTATTGATCGCCTTATTACGAAAATTAATAAGATGCAATACAAATATAAATTTTCTTTGGTAAAATAACTGATGCTTGGTTGTGTTTTGTGGACCTGCCAATATATTCATCCAATATGTATGAAATTTAACTTAAAATGTACTGCAAAAGTTCTTCCAGAGAGTTCATGGAATATCCACACATAGACACACATTGACACACACATGCAGACACACGCACATACAGGCACACAGAAAAAAGCACAGACAGACACACATGGATACACACACATACAGACACAAACACACACATAGATACAAATGCAGTCAGATACATACACAGAAACACGCACATACACACGCAGACACATACTCATACACAGACGCACACATACAAACACAGATGCACACAGTCAGACACACGCAGATACACATACATAGACACACATAAACACATAGACACACACAAATACAAAGACACACATAAACACATAGAAACACACAAAAATAAACACCTCAGCTTCTGTATTACGCATAGATATATTTTTATACAACCAAATGAAGGCTTTAGAAAAGCCATGTGCTGACATTTTTAAAAAATATCTAGAATGGGTTTGGTGGTAAATCATTCGATATTCAATACTCAAGCCCTAATTGGGGTATAATGTGTCAATTGCTTCTTCCAATCTTTCCACACGGTCAGTATTATGACAATTCGGATTAGATTTGTTTTTGTACATTCAAATTTGGATGGTCCCACACAACCTAAGTAGATTATTTCAAATCACAGTAAATATATGACATGAATTTGGTAAAGTATGAAACATCATTCAAACAAAATAAATCTTTTTTTAAAAAAAACCGCTGATATAGGGTGAATGGGTAAAGAATATGTAGGACAAGTTTTTGCGATGAGTAGCGTTTTCCCATATTTTTGGATTAGGAGAGTAGCTGCTTGGCCGATAAATAGGTCCAACTGCTGCTGGATTAGATTTTCTAGTCACAGTAGTTGATAACAAGACCACTAACAACGGACTTGAGTCAGGTTTACAACATTAGTTTTGTGCCAGCTGTTAATTCACAGCAGAGATTTTTTTGGTGATATATGTTCATTTCTTGACCCTATAAGATTATGTAGGAGCAATCTTAATCAAACTGTTGTTTCTGGCATCATTCACTGCTAGCTAAAGAACAACGATCTTGTTGAAGTAAAACAGGGTCTAAAGTATTCTGCCTCCGCGGTGAGGATATTGATTTTTCTCTTGTTTAATATGTAGCCTGTGTACACAGTAGAAATAAATGACCTTTTCACCTGGTATCAGGTAGCAAAATACAGGTTGACTTGGCGACCAAAGTATGGGAAGTTGATCTTGAACAATACTAGGTGATATTCAATTCTGCTGCTTTTATATCAACATATAAATTTGAATGTTGTATTATTTCAAATTTTCCATTTCTCATCTTCCTTTATAAGCCCTGTAGATTTAAAAAAAACAGTGCTTCAAGTGTGGTTGTGGATAAGTTGAATCTCCAAAGTGCGGCATCCACTAACGAATATATAACGCAACCAGACGTAATTGACAAATGATGGATGATTGTTCGAGTTATTTGATTTATTCTGAAAAATAGTCTTAACAAAAAATCCAAAAACAATTTATCACTTCATATATCGTTGGAATATAGAATAAATCTATCTTCTTACAAGTGGATCTTCTCTGGTGTACATACAATGATCAAAATTCTCAAAAGGTCATGGCTTTCCAGTGAAAATTTACTTCCTAAACGCTCTACAATATAACATTAATAAAAAACATATGGAAACATAGCAAATGATTGCAACAATAACTGGAACAGACACACCCGGAGTTTTGAACTGATAAATACATATCTTCCGTTTTATTTGTTCATGCGATATTGACATTGCTGTGAGACCAGTGTTTATGGCCCATCCTGAATTGATCTGTAGAATTTGGTGGTGAGCCGTCGTGTTGAAATGCTGTGACCCTTGAGTTGTAGGGACACCCGTAGTACTTTATGGCAGGAATTTAAGGAATTTTCCTCAGTGACACTGAAGGAACAGCGATTCATTTCCCAATCAGGATGGTAACTGGCTTGGAGGGGAATTTGCAGGTGGAGTGTTCCCATGTATCCGCTGCCTTTGTCCTTAAAGGTGGTAGAGGCCGTAGGTTCGGGAGATGCGATTCGAGGAGCTCTGGTGAGTTGCTTGATGCATGTTTCTGTGTCTGTGCATTGGTGGTGGAGGGAGCGAATGCTGCAAATGGTAGATATGGTTCCAATCAAGCCATGTGCTTTTTCTTGGATGGTGTGAAGATTCCCGAGTGTTTTTGGAGCCACATTCGTCCAGGCAAGTGGGGAGTATTCAATCACACTCCTGATTTGTGCCTTCTCAATGGTGAATAGGCTTTGGGGAGAACTGCAAAAATTGCATTGTCCCGCCTGTGATCTGCTGTTATAGCCACATCATTTATGTCACTGTTCACTTCAGTTTCTGGTCAATGGTATTGCCCAGGATGTTGAGAGTGGGGCATTCAGTATTGGTAATGCCATTTAACATCAAGGAGCAACAGCTAGATAGGCTATGTGACCTGTTTCTGCTGCTGGTTCACATATTCTGTAAATCAAGCTCATCAATCCTGGGATGGCTGAGGAGACTCATCCAAAGGCTGGAGAGAGGACCATTGATCCAGTCTGGGGGATTCGACACATTGTATTTGCTTAATCGCAAGTCATGCCTTCAACTGGTGAATTGACAACTCTGGGAAGAACACAGAACACAAATGCAAAATGCATGCTTATAAAAATGTGAAGGCCAAAGTTCAACATGATGAATTGATACCTATATTGAACGTTAATTAAAAATCAGAATGAATTCTTACCAAATACTGATATATAACAAGTCTTTGCAATGTTTAAAACATTAAAGATTTGTTCCCCATTGAAGGGCCATTCAAGATCTCAGTGCCCTTGGTTTAGGAGGCAGAGAAGAGCTTCTGTTTCTATTCCAGATCTTTGTCCAACAAGATCTATTGGGAGTGTACATGCACCCCATTGGAGCCGAGCGTGGCTACACAGAAATGATGTACAGCCCGCCTCTGAGGTTGAGCGTTATGGATCTTGGGTCAATTCGATACAAGCGGAGCTGCTAACAAAGGAAATTGGACATGCTTTGTATCTCTCACGCAGGGCCACTGGATTCGAAACGAGAACTTTTTTTTTCTCTCCATAGATTCTGCCAGACCGGCTAAGTTTCTCAATCTTGTTTCAAGATTTGCAGACCCGCAGTTCTTTGTTTATTATATTATAATTGTACCTCAACACATTTGGAGCAATGCAGTGTGCACGGAGAACGAGGAGGGAACATAACTCATTTCTAAAGTCGAAGATTTTTCAGGTTTGTTAGCGCCACAGTGAAATGCTTCAGCGATTGTATGTTTCTGATTCATTGCTTTATTTCAATGTAGTGTAATTCAGACTGTAATTCAATTTGGGACAGCGAGCTTAAAAAATCTCTGGTAGGACAACGTAGATTTTAAGGAATATGTGAGTTTAGAAAGGTGATCGATCAATGACTGATACATTAAGCAAATTTCTGATGAAGGGTCTAGGCCCGAAACGTCAGCCTCTCTGCTCCTATGATGCTGCTTGGCCTGCTGTGTTCATCCAGCCCTGCACCTTGTTGTCTCTTTTGCAATTACTGTTGGGTATAGAACGTTTATATACCGGAACCAGCACTTTCAAGCTTTATTTATTTAGTTTAAAGTTATTGGTTTTATTTTGAAGAATGGTGAAAGAACAATCTGTTTTTATATATAAATGATATTCCAAATCCATTTGTACAAGACTGTCAGCGGACCAGTCCCATATTCTAACCAGCCTAGATCCTCTGGAATCCTGTTTGCAAGATTCAGCAAATTGTACATTCTGTGTGTCTCGCTGATTGTTATTTTATGGTATGCACTGCCAAGCCATAATGAAGACTGACTGCTGCCATGAGGAATTAATTGATGAAAAATGCTGTCGGCTATTTAACTGAAATATAGTTCCGATTTTGTCCAATACCAAGTGCAAATATCTGCACAAAGCTTCGCATTACTTTCTGTTTTGGTTCATTTCCAAGTGGAAAACAATATGATGTTTGTTTAAAAATAGTAAAAAATGTAATATTGTATTTCCCGGCATCAAAGTGAAAGAAAATTGTGAATGAAGAAGTCCCCGGAAGTATAATCCATCGCCTGTAGAGTGTAACACGCGAGATGCATTGCATTCTCTACTTGTTGAATTATAGCCATAACTTAATGGCACAAAAAGCCGGTTCGATGCCGTGGGTTGCCTGAAAATTTTAATGTATCTGGATATTTTAGCAACTTGTTTTGCGCAAGAGGAGACTTCTGACAGCAGAGCTGCCAATTTCTCGGGAGCAGCCTCTTAGAAGGTCAGTATGGGAGAGAGGTGAAACATTGCGCCCATGCCCATCACACCACAGGAAAGATGTGATTACACTGGAGAGGGTGCAGAGGAGATTCCCCAGGATGTTGCCAGGGATGGAGCCGTGAAGAGAGGCTGGATAAGCTCGGGTTGTTTTCTTTGGAGCAGAGAAGGCTGAGAGGGGTCCTGATTGAAGTGCATAAGGTTACGAGGGGCCTGGGCAGAGTGGATAGAAAGCAGGGTGAG